CCCATTTCCCAACTTTTCTTTTTAGCTGAACCTCTCCATCTTCATTCCCATTTCCTAACTTTTCTTTTCACCTGAACCTCTCCATCTTCTTTCCCATTTCCCAACTTTTCTTTTCAACAGTACCTCTCCATCTTCATTCCCATTTCCCAACTTTTCTTTTTAGCTGAACCTCTCCATCTTCATTCCCATTTCCTAACTTTTCTTTTCACCTGAACCTCTCCATCTTCTTTCATTCCCATTTCCCAACTTTTCTTTTCACCTGTACCTCTCCATCTTCTTTCCCATTTCCTAACTTTTCTTTTCAGCTGAACCTCTCCATCTTCTTTCATTCCCATTTCCCAACTTTTCTTTTCGCCAGTACCTCTCCATCTTCATTCCCATTTCCCAACTTTTCTTTTCAGCTGAACCTCTCCATCTTCATTCCCATTTCCCAACTTTTCTTTTCAGCTGAACCTCTCCATCTTCTTTCATTCCCATTTCCCAACTTTTCTTTTCGCCAGTACCTCTCCATCTTCTTTCCCATTTCCTAACTTTTCTTTTCAGCTGAACCTCTCCATCTTCTTTCCCATTTCCTAACTTTTCTTTTCACCAGTACCTCTCCATCTTCTTTCATTTTCTTTTCAGCTGAACCTCTCCATCCCCCAACTTTTCTTTTCACCTGTACCTCTCCATCTTCTTTCCCATTTCCCAACTTTTCTTTTCACCTGTACCTCTCCATCTTCTTTCCCATTTCCTAACTTTTCTTTTCGCCAGTACCTCTCCATCTTCATTCCCATTTCCCAACTTTTCTTTTCAGCTGAACCTCTCCATCTTCATTCCCATTTCCCAACTTTTCTTTTCAGCTGAACCTCTCCATCTTCTTTCACATTTCCTAACTTTTCTTTTCACCTGTACCTCTCCATCTTCTTTCCCATTTCCTAACTTTTCTTTTCACCTGTACCTCTCCATCTTCTTTCCCATTTCCCAACTTTTCTTTTCAACAGTACCTCTCCATCTTCATTCCCATTTCCCAACTTTTCTTTTCACCTGAACCTCTCCATCTTCTTTCCCATTTCCCAACTTTTCTTTTCAGCTGAACCTCTCCATCTTCTTTCCCATTTCCTAACTTTTCTTTTCAGCTGAACCTCTCCATCTTCTTTCATTCCCATTTCCCAACTTTTCTTTTCACCTGTACCTCTCCATCTTCTTTCCCATTTCCCAACTTTTCTTTTCACCTGTACCTCTCCATCTTCTTTCCCATTTCCCAACTTTTCTTTTCAGCTGAACCTCTCCATCTTCATTCCCATTTCCCAACTTTTCTTTTCAGCTGAACCTCTCCATCTTCTTTCCCATTTCCTAACTTTTCTTTTCAGCTGAACCTCTCCATCTTCTTTCCCATTTCCTAACTTTTCTTTTCACCTGTACCTCTCCATCTTCTTTCCCATTTCCCACCTTTTCTTTTCAGCTGAACCTCTCCATCTTCTTTCCCATTTCCTAACTTTTCTTTTCAGCTGAACCTCTCCATCTTCTTTCATTCCCATTTCCCAACTTTTCTTTTCACCTGTACCTCTCCATCTTCTTTCCCATTTCCCAACTTTTCTTTTCACCTGTACCTCTCCATCTTCTTTCCCATTTCCCAACTTTTCTTTTCAGCTGAACCTCTCCATCTTCATTCCCATTTCCCAACTTTTCTTTTCAGCTGAACCTCTCCATCTTCTTTCCCATTTCCTAACTTTTCTTTTCAGCTGAACCTCTCCATCTTCTTTCCCATTCCTAACTTTTCTTTTCACCTGTACCTCTCCATCTTCTTTCCCATTTCCTAACTTTTCTTTTCAGCTGAACCTCTCCATCTTCTTTCCCATTTCCCAACTTTTCTTTTCACCTGTCTCCACCTCTCCATCTTCTTTCCCCCATTTCCCAACTTTTCTTTTCAGCTGAACCTCTCCATCTTCTTTCCCATTTCCCAACTTTTCTTTTCAGCTGAACCTCTCCATCTTCTTTCATCTTCTTTTCTTTTCAGCTGAACCTCTCCATCTTCCCCCAACTTTCCTGAACCTCTCCACTTTTTTTCTTTTCAGCTGAACCTCTCCATCTTCTTTCCCATTTCCTAACTTTTCTTTTCACCTGTACCTCTCCATCTTCTTTCCCATTTCCTAACTTTTCTTTTCGCCAGTACCTCTCCATCTTCATTCCCATTTCCCAACTTTTCTTTTCAGCTGAACCTCTCCATCTTCTTTCCCATTTCCTAACTTTTCTTTTCACCAGTACCTCTCCATCTTCATTCCCATTTCCCAACTTTTCTTTTCAGCTGAACCTCTCCATCTTCTTTCCCATTTCCTAACTTTTCTTTTCACCTGTACCTCTCCATCTTCTTTCCCATTTCCCAACTTTTCTTTTCAGCTGAACCTCTCCATCTTCTTTCATTCCCATTTCCCAACTTTTCTTTTCACCTGTACCTCTCCATCTTCTTTCCCATTTCCCAACTTTTCTTTTCGCCAGTACCTCTCCATCTTCTTTCCCATTTCCTAACTTTTCTTTTCACCTGTACCTCTCCATCTTCTTTCCCATTTCCTAACTTTTCTTTTCACCTGTACCTCTCCATCTTCTTTCCCATTTCCTAACTTTTCTTTTCAGCTGAACCTCTCCATCTTCTTTCCCATTTCCTAACTTTTCTTTTCACCAGTACCTCTCCATCTTCTTTCATTCCCATTTCCTAACTTTTCTTTTCAGCTGAACCTCTCCATCTTCTTTCCCATTTCCCAACTTTTCTTTTCACCTGTACCTCTCCATCTTCTTTCATTCCCATTTCCCAACTTTTCTTTTCGCCAGTACCTCTCCATCTTCATTCCCATTTCCCAACTTTTCTTTTCACCTGTACCTCTCCATCTTCATTCCCATTTCCCAACTTTTCTTTTCACCTGTACCTCTCCATCTTCTTTCCCATTTCCTAACTTTTCTTTTCACCTGTACCTCTCCATCTTCTTTCATTCCCATTTCCCAACTTTTCTTTTCAGCTGAACCTCTCCATCTTCTTTCATTCCCATTTCCCAACTTTTCTTTTCACCTGTACCTCTCCATCTTCTTTCCCATTTCCTAACTTTTCTTTTCGCCAGTACCTCTCCATCTTCATTCCCATTTCCCAACTTTTCTTTTCACCTGTACCTCTCCATCTTCATTCCCATTCCCAACTTTTCTTTTCACTTTACCTCTCCATCTTCTTTCCCATTTCCCAACTTTTCTTTTCAGCTGAACCTCTCCATCTTCTTTCCCCATTTCCTAACTTTTCTTTTCACCTGTACCTCTCCATCTTCTTTCATTCCCATTTCCTAACTTTTCTTTTCAGCTGAACCTCTCCATCTTCTTTCCCATTTCCTAACTTTTCTTTTCACCTGTACCTCTCCATCTTCTTTCCCCATTTCCCAACTTTTCCCTGCACCAGTACCTCTCCATCTTCTTTCATTCCCATTTCCTAACTTTTCTTTTCACCTGTACCTCTCCATCTTCTTTCCCATTTCCTAACTTTTCTTTTCGCCAGTACCTCTCCACCTTCTTTTATTCCCATTTCCTAACTTTTCCCTGCACCTGTACCTCTCCGTCTTCTTTCCCATTTCCTAACTTTTCTTTTCGCCAGTACCTCTCCATCTTCATTCCCATTTCCCAACTTTTCCCTGCACCAGTACCTCTCCAGCTTCTTTCCCATTTCCTAACTTTTCTTTTCAGCTGAACCTCTCCATCTTCTTTCATTCCCATTTCCTAACTTTTCTTTTCACCTGTACCTCTCCATCTTCTTTCATTCCCATTTCCCAACTTTTCTTTTCAGCTGAACCTCTCCATCTTCTTTTATTCCCATTTCCCAACTTTTCCCTGCACCTGTACCTCTCCATCTTCTTTCCCATTTCCTAACTTTTCTTTTCACCTGTACCTCTCCATCTTCTTTCCCATTTCCCAACTTTTCTTTTCAGCTGAACCTCTCCATCTTCTTTCCCATTTCCTAACTTTTCTTTTCAGCTGAACCTCTCCATCTTTTCCTTCCCATTTCCTAACTTTTCTTTTCACCAGTACCTCTCCATCTTCTTTCATTCCCATTTCCCAACTTTTCTTTTCAGCTGAACCTCTCCATCTTCTTTCCCATTTCCTAACTTTTCTTTTCAGCTGTACCTCTCCATCTTCTTTCCCATTTCCTAACTTTTCTTTTCACCTGTACCTCTCCATCTTCTTTCATTCCCATTTCCTAACTTTTCTTTTCAGCTGAACCTCTCCATCTTCCTTCCCATTTCCTAACTTTTCTTTTCAGCTGTACCTCTCCATCTTCTTTCCCATTTCCTAACTTTTCTTTTCACCTGTACCTCTCCATCTTCTTTCATTCCCATTTCCTAACTTTTCTTTTCACCTGTACCTCTCCATCTTCTTTCATTCCTATTTCCCAACTTTTCTTTTCACCTGTACCTCTCCATCTTCTTTCATTCCCATTTCCCAACTTTTCCCTGCACCTGTACCTCTCCATCTTCTTTCATTCCCATTTCCTAACTTTTCTTTTCACCTGTACCTCTCCATCTTCTTTCACTCCCATTTCCCAACTTTTCTTTTCAGCTGAACCTCTCCATCTTCTTTCATTCCCATTTCCCAACTTTTCTTTTCACCTGTACCTCTCCATCTTTGATTCCCATTTCCTAACTTTTCTTTTCAGCTGAACCTCTCCATCTTCTTTCCCATTTCCTAACTTTTCTTTTCACCTGTACCTCTCCATCTTCTTTCATTCCCATTTCCCAACTTTTCCCTGCACCTGTACCTCGGCATCTTCTTGCATTCCCATTTCCTAACTTTTCTTTTCACCAGTACCTCTCCATCTTCTTAAATTTTTATTACCCAAGTTTTCCTTCACCTGTGCTTCTCCTTTTTAAATTCCCATTTCGTAGGTTTTTCCTTCACATGTATCTAATTAAATTCTCATTTCATAACTTTTCCTTTGCCACCTGTCTATCTTCTGTTGTTTGTTCAACAAGGTAAATAAAACTAACACAATATTTTTTATTAGAGTAGTATTTAATGGGTACAGTATATAATATGATAATGCATTTTTATTGTGTACAAGAAAAAAAAGACACGAAGGCAAACGCCTCCTGGAGGCATCACCTTTTGTAACGAATCTATCACCGCATCGAGCCTGGGTTAGTCCCATATGGTTCACCGAAACGTGATTGCACTGTACTGAAAAGTTCTGTACCTGGTTCAGAGGCTTGAATACCAACATAAGAATATACTCTTCCTCATTCAAGGAATACAATTCAAGGAATTTTTTGTACATTTTTCACTTTAGTAATTTAACAAGCTAATTTTGTAGATTCACACTTACTTGGACTATTTTGTAATCATTTTATCTATTATCATTGCTAATGCGGTACTCATTATTAATACTCATTAAAAAGGTATTACAAAATAAAACTTATAATATTTGTATTATAAAAATAATAAAAATATTCTCACAATTTTATAATAATAATACACAATTACCTTTGTAATTTCTCCATGCCATACTGATTTTATGTCTTAAATACTCTAGTATGAAAGTTGTGGTTGGTGTTTACTAGCTTTAGCTGCTAACTAAAACACAAGAGATATGATTCAAAAACAATGTACATTGCAAAACTATAACACAGACCTAAAGAATAATTCCTTGTTGAACCTTGATTTTATGAAGACCTGGATCTGATCCAGAGTATGAATAAAAACCTTCATGTTCTGTGGAAGAAACAAAAATTAATGTTATAACCAAAAGAAAGAACATTTTTAGATAGAACATTCTACAGGCAGAAGGTTGATTTCTTGTGTTAATTAATTTAGCATTAATTTTGTAATTTGCATTAGTGTTTAGTAATTTAGTAATTTGTACTTTCATGTACATGTATTTATGTTCTTGGTCATGTATTTAACCTTTAAACCGCGCTAAACATACATATACGATTTGATATAACTAAAGTTTAGAAAACTTGCACAAACACTTTCCAATTTTTTTTGTGCATAGTTAACTAATGCTCCAACTTTGTCTAAATGATCACAACGTAACTTTAAAAACAAGAGAATCAAAATAATTTTAAAATTGAATATTGAAAATTTCAGATTTTCAAATCAGGATAAAAAATGTAAACTATCACCAATTCTTCATTTGGTGTTCTTATTCTCTTAGAATAGCATATGATTTTCATTTTCATCAAATTAGAATATGGGTTTACAGTATAGTTTACTGTAAAAAAAATCAGCATTGAATGTAATGAAACGCCATTTTCTGGGTGAGTCCTGGAGGCTCCCTGGAGCTATCCAGGCTGATAGGGATGGTCCTAACTTTTTGCATCAGTCAATGTGAGTGGAGTTCTAGGCCTACCGGGGACCACAGCCAGAACCTGGCCCCCTCAGAGAGGCCCAAGGAGCAATGGCCCATAGAAATGCACATGTGATTTTGGAGCATTCTATATCTGCCATCGATCGAGACAGGTACCCAGAAAGGTAAGCACCTCGAAACAAACCCCTATTCAGGTGAAACCAACTAAAGTAATCAAACAAATGGACAGAACTCCCCCAAATGAAAACAAGTAAACGAGCATGACGTCACATGAACCGCGCCGCATGTCTGAGCAGCTCCCCCATCCAAACGGGAGGGGGGATGGGTTAGTGGTAAGGTTCAACTTATAAAAACACATGTGAGGATGACCATAGGGGAAAAACAAGAGATCATTTGCAAACATGAAAATGGTATGAGGGTTGTTGATGTAGAGTAGAGGATGTCCCTTCCTCATTTATTACGAAAATGTGTGCAGTATGGGAAGAATTGCAAAGTTTTGCTGAAAAGTGTCACCCAAATCAAGTTGTAGCAGGCCATTGTGTTAACCTTTTTAATGACAATGTGATGTCTTACTTCAGACAAGTGTTACAACGTAGGGAAAAACAAGTGTCGCTAGACAAGATTTTAGTGAGAAAAATAAGCAGTGAGTCACAAGCAGGTCCTAGTAGTATGCAAGCAAACTGCAGGAGAGAGAGTACCCCAGAAAAGTCATCACTGCCTGATGTTATAATGGAAGGGGACTTTCCTACCAAACACTTACACCTCTCCCCCTCACTGTCTTCCATACGCCAACAAGAGTCCTCATGTATGTATGTTTGTAATGTAATGTAATGTATGTATGTATTCAAATTCAAATGTTTATTCAGGTAAAGTACATACATACAAGGGGTGATACAAATATTGATGAATTTATAGATAGAGCTAGTACATACAATGCCTAAAGCCACTATTACACAAAGCGTTTTGGGCAGTACTGTATGTATGGATGTAAGACATACTGTACATACATACAGTACTGTTCATTTTGACTCACGACCCGTCTCTGGGAACAGATTAAATTTATAAGTCGAGGCCCCACTGTATCTGTCAAACCTTCTGTACACAAAGATGACAAAAATCAATTGAAGTGGAATGCTTAGCTCAGATGCACATTCTCTCAGAACCCTGGATGAAACTTCATCTAGGCCAACTGCTTTGTTCTTGCTTAGCTCCCTGAGCATTTTTTTTCTACTTCATTTCGAGACACCTCTATGTACTCTATGTTATTCTCTGAAAACTTATTTGTGCACCATCATACTTTAGAACTGTTCGTTTAATGTTTCACACATTTCATGTATTGTATGTATTAACGAAAAGCATTTTACCTTCTATATTGATCCCTCTCTCTCCAATGGTGTAGTTGAAGGTAGCAAATGGTGCAATTGGAGACTTTGCAATGATAAGCTGTTGAAAAAATTACAAATTACTATGGAAACATTTTACAATCACTGCTCATTTTCATGAATGTTAGAATTACTGTATTATACTAATGTACTTCACTAAGAAATTTTAATACTGTACAATTTTTTAAACTCGACTAAAATAAGTCAGTGATCAAGAAAAGCACTTCTCTAGCTTTAAGACATTTAAAACTGTATTCACAAAACACATGGAGAGTGCTTGATTGACTGGCAATAATTCTTTAGGTTCTGTTGTAACGGGGGCCAGCCTTTAACCTCACTTACTGGTTAAATGCTTGTCATTATTAAGTAAATCTACAGACAAGAGTTCCGCTGTGTAACCTTCAGATCAACTCCTCGAGATCTATAATGTTCGATCGTTTAGATATCACGGCTCGAGGATACTGTACCTCTCGATGCTATACTGCAAGCTCTGACTTACGCCGTCATCACCTGCTACCTTCTACCCACTGAGTAATTCCCCCAAATGACCGTGAAGCAGGATACTGTCAATTAGGCATAAATCTCGAAAATGGATCCCCAGTTATCAGGAAAGGAGGTATAAGATTTACGTTAAGTGTGGACTTAAATCAAAGTAAAAAGGATGATCTGAGGTATTAAATAACTGCTTGCAGGCTTAGAGAGGGAGCCTAGTCTCACGCATGGGGCTTGAGCCCAACAACCATGTAAAATAAACGTTTGGGGAAAAATTCCGCTAAACATCATACATTCTAAAAAAAATTATCAACAAAGATTATCAAAGAAAATACAAATTAATAAAACCTTATCTGAACACTTCCTAACTGAATATTTTCCTGAGGCAATTCGTAATTGACTACAACAAATAATGTGGATTCTACATTGCAATAACTCAGACAGAACAATTACCTTAAATACCACAGCCAGGCCCGTTGTTCAGCCCTGTCTCTGGAGAGAGATGTTGACCTCCCAGGATGTCTCAACCCACACTGATCCATCTCCCCCACTGACCCTAGCTCAGTTGCCAAATTAATCTTTGAAGATTACTAACTAAATCCTGTATTCGTCACTGAAGGTGACTTATTATTTCAAAACAATTGGGAATTATCTAGATGCTCAAGCCAGGCTAATTACAATATTCAATAGTACTTGCATCTCACTAATTTTCATGAATTAACAAGCAAGCTGGGAGATACATATTTTCCAAGTGCGAGATATACTATTCTTACTGAAGTCACATGCTTCTTTTGCTATCATACGAGGCTTATTCTTTATTCTTAATTGACATTAATTTTAACATAATTACTTAACCCACGATTGATTCTTCCTTATATTTGTTTAAAGCCTGAATTATTCTCCCAGTTTGATGACTCGACACAGGATGTAATTGGTGCTACCGTTTCTACACATGAGTCTAATCCCTTTGGGGAGAGATGACCCTAGCCTGCCAGTCAGGTCACTACCAACTCCCTCTCTATTTTTACAAAGGCGTATCCTCCCTACTAATGAAATGACAACGCTTAATGTTAGCTCTATGGTCTTTCTATATTAATAGTCCTACTGTTACACTGTAACAAGAACTTAATGTTGTTAACCCTTAATGAGTGGTCATCATCACATGTTGATCCCCTGGGGTAATGTGGTTAAAATCATATGTTGATTTTTGTTACTATAGTCTGGTTTCCGTGCCTTGATGTTAACCCTCGTGTTGCACAAATTGTATTTATACAATTTGAGTAAATGTCGCTGAACTGTGCACATCACATATATACAATTGAGGGTGCCGCACACGATTTAAATGACCCGGAGCTACACGGGGGTTCACATCAGCTTCCTCAGGGCTCTAGTAAACAGATGCCATTTAAAAAAAACAAACAAATTGTGCGTAACATTCCCGGGTGTGAGAGCCTCAGTACTGAGTGAGCAACCAAGGTACGATAGGCCTTGATGCATTGCACAGAGATCGGAAGGAATTATTGACACACAATATAGAGGGAGTTTTCAGGGGAAAGCGCCAAGCCATTACAACTATATAGCACTGGGAAGGAGTCAGGATAAGGATTTGGGGATGGGACGGGGGAAGGAAGGAACGGTGCCCAACCACTTGGAAGGTCGGGAATTAGAGACGCTGCATTGAAGGCCTCTCGAGCCTTCAATGCATTAATAGCATTCAACACCACTAGGCGTTCAAATTTGTAAAATGTGCATCAACGTGTCTACGGACCCAATGACTTCCACCAGGTTCTCTTCTGATATGCAGGAAACCAGAAGAAACTTGGCTATTTGTTTTTTAGTACAGTATTTTCTTTATGTTTTTGCATGTAAATATATATCATTCTATAAAGAAATATTATTATTATAAATCATTATTATTATTACTATTAATATTATGAATTATTAATTTTCAAATGCAAAGGCAGAGTGGCACATTTGATGATTGCCACTTTATAAGGGTTAATGTCATATTATAAACACAATAATAATCCAACTTTTGGGGTTAGATGGCTCAATTTGGGTTAAATGCAGGCGATGAGTCACAATAACGTGGCTAAAGTATGTTGACCAGACCACACACTAGAAGGTGAAGGGATGACGACATTTCGGTCTGTCCTGGACCATTCTCAAGTCGATTCAAGTCGAAACGTTGGGTTAAATGTTTAATTAATTGAACATTTGTATGTTCCATTGGACAATATGCATTGAATACAATCTGTTTGGACCACCCAGGACTTTCTTAAATTAACAGTGTTTTTTGTTTTAGTGAACGAGTGAGGATCAAGTGTAATGATACAAGCACTTATTTACCTGTCTGGTTTTCGAGTCCTTAAACTGCAAAATGAAGCGAGTATTTACACAGTGTGTCCAGGTATTCCCTAAAGCTGGGGTCACGTGACGAGAAAATGTTCTCTCTCTTGAGCCTAGAAATTCAAAACAGATTAAGTGTCTGAATGGTACCTTGATAGAAAAAATTAAGACCAGCCTATCTACAACATTAATCTATATTAGAGATATCTTATTCCCTTAAAAAAAAAAACATGAAGAGTTGGATCTAATGAAGCAGCTTCCCTAAGAACTTAAATTGCTTTCAAGCACCACATACATTTGTAAGAGCACTTGAAACATAGCATTTGCAATTGACATTCTAATAAGCTGGTTTGATTATCTGCCAAGTGCTGAAGCACTCACCGAGACAAAATGTGGGTAGATTTATATCTGCTTTAGTAAGTATATCACAATAGAAAAAGAAAGAATATGACAATAATATTCAGTGAAAGGATAAAGTGGGGATGAAGAAAATTTAACAGATGGCACAATAGTGCAATATCGATAGCAAAAATGGAGTGAGGATTGTAATGAAACTTCCCCTTTTTGGACTTCAAACAGATAATCAGCAAAGTAAACAAATAGGATTTGTTTACTTTGCTGATTGGCTGTTTTAGCTTGTCTACCCTTCTGGTGACCTTTTCCTGGTTAAGGTAATCTCATATTCACTGCTCCTTGCGCCTCAATTCAGGGAGCCAGGTTTTGGCCTCCATCCCATCCTCCTGTTTTGTTAGTACTCATAATAACGACGAGAACCATAGTACAGTACAGGGGTACCTCGGTTTAAGAGTTTAATCCGAGTTTAATCCTTCCCTCCAGATGGTGGCCTTTTAGGCAGACTGCCCTGACTTACTTATATACAAGAAGGTACATTGGGTTTGTGAGAGTACATAATGTTGGTGTTCTGTAAACATCAGACTCATGTTGTTTACAAACTGTGACTGGTTGCTACCACAACTGTGAATGCCTAACAGCCTTTGACTGGTTATGACTGACTGACTGACTGACTGACTGACTGTCTGACTGACCAGTACAATTTGTATATGAAGTTTTTGAAAACAAGATCAAAGGGAATGAAACAAATGTCAATTAAAAGTCTTTTGCAAAGGCATCCAAGAAAGCTAGCATTGCCTCACCTGCACCCGACTCATCATATGTTGACCCAAATGTGTCAACATCTGAGGTTACCTTATCACTATTATTCTCGAATTCAGTCAACCCAACACCACCAACATCCACCACCACCACCTCTTCCATATAAATAACTATGCTCCATCAACAATGATCAACATACCAAGTGGATCAGAATTTCTCTTATTGGTGAGTGCAAACAAAATACTGTCGCACTGATGCTACGAACCTGTCAATTTTTTTCCCTACATTTCTTCCCCCCCCCCCCCCACATTTCTTGTTTATTTTTGTTCCTACAGTTCTTGTTTACGAACTTACACAGTAACCGGCGGGTCTCATCCCCGAGGTGTTCGCAAAGCACGTGGTCCTCTATAATTACATAATACAAATAAAATATTTTATTTATTACAGTATTACTGTATTGGCATTGAAAGTAGAATGTGATTATAGTTACACATAAGTTTTAAATACTGTATACTAAATTTATAACAAAATACCTGAATGACCAAACAACAAATGTACATTTACCCAAATTTACTCAAATTGACCTACAAATATGAAAATATAACAAATGCATTAAATATTTTTTACAGAAATATTGGCAATGAATGTAGAATGTGATTATACATAATTAAGTTGGAAATACAGTGGCACCTCGACTTACGATTGCCCCTACTTACGATAATTTCGAGTTACGATGTAAATTTCATCGAAAAATGCGACTCGACATCCGATGGTGTCGTCGACTTACGATATTTGTTGGTACACGTTCAGGTCGACCGAACGCGTGGTTCCCGGTCACGCAGCCGACCTGCCTCAATTTACTACAGCTGCACGCTTAGTGACGATCGCGCCTATAAGAAATTCTGCATTTGTGGTGATTTTTTGCATTTTGAACATTAAAGTAATTATTATATATCACGCCATGAGTCCCAGGAAAGTCAGTGGTAAGGCTTAACATATGAGATCTCATGTAAGGATGACCATAGAGCAGAAACAAGAGATCATTCGTAAATATGAAGATGGTGTGCTGGTTGTTGGACTGGCTAGGCAGTACAACAAATCTCAGTCAACAATATCCACCATACTGGCTAAGAAAAAGGACATTATGGGTGCTAAAGTAATGGATCATTACAGACAAATGTTAAAACACAGGGAAAACAAATGTCTCTTGACAAATTTGTAGTGAGACAAACAAGCACTGAACCACAACCAGGTCCTAGTGGTATTCAGGCAAAACGTAGGAGAGAGAGTACCTCAGAGAAAACATCACTGCCTGATGTGATAATGGAAGGGGACTCCCCATCCAAACAGTAACAACTCTCCTCCTCTCCTCTCATCACCATCTTCCATATGCCATCAAGAGTCCTCCATAAAGGTAAGATAAACTTAGGTACTGTATTGTAGTTAGAAAAAAACATTGTATTCAGTATAAAATGTATTTGTATGTTAATATTTTGGAGGGTGGGGAACGGATTACCTGTAATTCAATTCCCTTTATTTCTTATGGGAAAAATTGCTTCGACATACAATCCGTCTCTGGGAACGGATTAGCATCGTAAGTCGAGGCCCCATTGTATTGTATACTTATTTTATAACAATATACAGTATCTAAACACTAAAATGTATATTTACTCAAAATGGCCTACAATTACAAAAATAAAACCAATATACAGTACTGTATAATGTATTTTAATACATTTATATTGGTAATTAAAGTTAAACATAATTACACGTAAGTACTTATCATTTGGTGGGATCAGGAAGTTTACATTACCTGTATGTAGTTCTCCATCTTCCTCATCAAGCGAGTGTATCTCTTCAGTTACGTGAAGTTCTTTCTTGGCGACCTGTGTCGTTACCTGGTTAGTAACCACTACCTGATATGCAAGATATTTAATGTTTTAATTCTATGCTCACTGACTCATTTCATCAAATTAACAGTTGAAATTACAATTACTGGTGTGCTGATACCTGCCATATTACAGAATAACAATACCGATACTGTACTCCGACATTTTAAAAAGATTATTACTCCAATACCATCACAATTTTTTTTGTATATGTTACAAATTAATTAATAAACCAGCGTTGAATGAAATGAAACGCCATTTTCTGGGTGAGACCCAGAGGCTCCCCGGAGCTATCCAGGCTGATATGCTAATGTCAGACTTTGGCATCAGTCATGTGTATGGAGTTCTTTGGGCCTACCGGGGACCAAGGCCAGAACCCGGCCCTCTCAGAGAGGCAAGGGGAGCAATGGCCTATAGAAGCCCCCGTCTGGTTGGAAACATTCTATGTCTGCCATCGACCGGGTCAGGGACCCAGAAAGGTAAGCATCCCAAAACAAACCCGCTATTCTGGTGAAAATATTGCTACCAAAATCCGAACAAGTGGATAAAACTCCCCAAACAAAAACGAGCAAACTAGTATGACGTCACCCGTTACCACGCCGGCGTCTGTGCCTGAACCAAAGGGGCCACCACAAACCGAGGAGAAGAGAGAAAAAAGAACACTCTGTCCAATGACCAGGACGGCTCAGGTAATGCATGAGCAGGCGGGAGGTGAAACAATGCACGAGACAGCTTGTGAAACGGCGCAGAAGTAACATCAATACCGAAAGCAAGCTGAACGCACGATACGAGGCGAGTGTTAGGCATATGGAGACGGTCCTGAAACAACCAAGAGAGAAAGGACAACATCACCCTAACAGAAAGTGAAGTACAATGACGAAGACGCAAGAAGAAACGGAAGGACCGCCAGGAAACTTCACACTGCCACCGAGACGAAGCCCGCAGGTGGGACACTAATAAGGAAGCCACCTGATCACCATAGAGATGATGATAAACTCGAGTCAAAAATACCATACGTGAAGACTCAAGGAAAAGATTGAACTAGCCACGTGACGTTCTGGTCCGATCTGCTGGGAGAGGCGGAACCACGGGAAAACCTCCAGGTTTGGACACCGAGCAAGCAGCGTCTGAAACCACGGCCACCATGGGGCCAAGAGGACAACTCTCCCAGGAACCCCGACCTCAACCAGTCCTGCCGAAAAGCATCGAACCCGATGGCCTCGCAGTCGGGGAAGGGCGCCATATACAGGGGAAGGTGCCGCGCCCAAGCCTGACGTGAAGGGGGTCCACCTTAGGGCGTCCGAATGTTAGGCAAAGCCAACAGAAGGAGTCGGCGTCGACCGTCCATTCCCTGGAGAGGGGAACGAAACAAGACAGGCCATTGGCCAAGACGTTGGACACTCCCCGCACATGATCTGCCAGGAGAGCCATCCTCGAGAACTCAGCAGACGAGTCACCCGAAGCGACCAGCGCCAAAGAGCCAAGGACCGCATCGAACCCCCTCAGTTCAAACAATGAACCACCGGGGAGCAGTCCGAATGGAGCCAGATCGTCCACCCTCAGGCGACCCAAATTCCCGGAAGAGCAAACCACACCACCGCGAACTCCCGCACAGTGCTGTGGGCTCGACCGAAGGATGGATCCCACCGCCCCTAGCCGGCCTGATGAGCACTGGTCACAAAGCCCCAGCCGAGAGACGATGTGTCCATGAACACATCGAGCGAGGGCTCGGGTAGGCGCCAAGGCACTGAACCCCGAAAAACCCAAAGAGGAAGCCGGCGATGCAGCAACCGACGCAAAGCCCCCGGGGTCCGAACCCAGCGATTGCAAGAGAGGTGGAAGGGACGTCCCCGAAGGAACCAGAACAGCTGACGAAGCCAAACAACCCAGCGGGTAGACCAACCGCTGGGTGACCCGGGAGCCCCCCAGAAACAGACGCAAGTGGGACCGCAGCCGGAGGAGAGACTCCGGAGGAAGAGACAAGGAAGCGGTCCGAGAGTCCCACAAATTGTCGCATTAACAGAGACTAAACTTGAAGAAAATATTTTAAACGAGGTCGTGTTCCCAAGGAGCTACTCAGTTTGGAGACGTGACAGGAAAACTAAGGGGGGAGAAGTGGCTGTGCTAGTGAAAGAACACCTGAAGGTAAGAGAATTAATGTTTGAAAACCCTAGAGATATTGACATAATGGCATTGCAGCTCTGTAATCAAGATGATAAGCTGATAATTTTAAATGCCTACAGCCCACCAGCAAGCAACACATGGACAAAGGAAGAACTGGATGACAAACGAGAGGGTCTCATAATGGTCATGAGAGAGATTATGGTAAGAGCTGACAAAGATAAATCCCAATTGTTGGTACTGGGGTACTTTAACTTTAAGGCAATAGACTGGGAGGCCTACGAGGCAAGAACAGAAGACATTTGGAGGCAGGTAGGTTTGTAAACCTCATCTAGGAAACATTCATGTATCAACACGTCAAGCAGGCCACAAGAATGAGGGAAGGGAATGTTCCGTCAGTAATGGATCTAGTATTCACCAGGAAAGAAGAGGTGGTATTTGACATTCAGTACCTTCCTCCCTTGGGAAAGAGTGATCACGTCCTCTTGGACATTAAATACGCTATGCGATATAATCTAGTAGAGAATGGGGACTGAAGCAGTTGTTAAACTCGATTTCAAGAGAGGACGCTATGGGAAACCAAGAAATTTTTTCTTGGGTATAATTGGACAGACTTGTTGCCAGTCAAGGAAGTAAATGAGATGTATGCCAAATTTTGCACAATATATGATGAAGGCACACAAACTTTCATACCAAAACAGACATGCAGACCTGGGAAACAGGGTTGATTCAACAGAAATTGGGTGGGGGGCCAGAGATCAAAAGACAAAAGCATGGAGTGGGGTTCTCTTTTTTCCTCTTCTGTGTACGAGTTGGATTTAGCATCTGCCCCTCCCCGGGTTCGGGTCCATGTTCCCTCGAGTGTGTCGGTTCCGTCTTTCTGGAGGTTTTCTGCATCCTACATCCAACCGTCTACAGTGCGGGCAGCCCTGGCGTCTTACCTCCTGCGTGACCTGGATTACGCCTCGGTGATGGTTCCGTTGTCTTTCAGGTTTGGGACTTCATTCTCTTTCTGGGTACATTACGAGGTTCCGGAGTTGTCCTGATTGGCGAACTGTCTATTTTTGCTTTGGAGGCTTGGCATTCTTTCTGTCATTCCCACATGCTTGAATGGAGCAAGGTCTCGATGGTGGTTCAAGTTTTCCTGGGGGGGGGGCACGACCTCGAGCACCTCAATGAGTGCTTGTTTGCTCCTGCCCTTCCCCGGGATGTTAGCGTTCTGCAGCTCCATGTGCAGGTTCCCTCCTTGTCGGCTGCGCAGGTGGCTGAGGACTTGCGTGCCCGTGGGCTCTTCGTTTCGACCTTGCACTTCTTTTTTTTCCTCCTGGAACTGTCTTCGGACTGGCTTGGGGAGTATGTCGAGACATTCAAGTCTGTTCCGGGGTCCAGTGCCATGGGCTCGGCAGCGCGCGCATCGTCTGCCTTCTTGAAGCAGTTTGGAGGGAGGACAGGCGGTAAGCCTGTCCTCCCTCCCTCCTTTCCTCCCTCCATCCATCCATCCATCCCTCCCTCCCTCCCTCTATCCATCCCTTCCTCCCTCTCTCTCCTTCCATCCCTCCCTCCCTCTCTCCTTCCCTCCCTCCCTCCCTCCTCCCCTCCTCCATACCTTCCTACTTCCCACCCCCTCCTTCCCTCCATCCCTCCCTCCCTCCTCCTCTCCATCCCTCCCTCCTGCCCCCCCCTCCTTCCCTCCACCCCTTCATCCCTCCCTCTATCTCTCCCTTCTTCCTTCCATCCCTCCCTCCCTCCTTCCCACCATCCCTCCCTCCCTCCTTCCCACCATCCCCCCCTCCATCTCTCCCTTCTTCCCACCATCCCCCCCTCCATCTCTCCCTTTTTCCCTCCATCCCTCCCTTCTTCCCTCCATCCAAAATTTTAAGAAAATCTGGTTAACTGGGTCAAGTGTGTTAGGCTTATCAGAGTGAGCCGGTCCCTTCCCCACCACCAACACCCCTTCCCCCCCCCCCCATACATCCCACACACATACTGTCTCTGCTTCACCTCAACTCAATATCAATCCCTCCATCCATCCATCCCTCCCTCCCTCCAACAATCCATCCTTCCATCCATCTCCATCCCCTCCCTGACTACTACCCAGCCTCTGCCTGCCTGCCTCCCTCCCTTCCTGCCTCCCTCCCAAGCTCTACCTGCTTGCCTGCCTCCCTCCCTCCCTACCTCTCCTTCCCTGCCTACCTCCCAGCCACTTCCTGCATGCCAGCCTACATTTCAGCCTCTCCATCTTTGCCTGCCTCCATCTATTTATTGCCTGTCTCTACTTCCTCATCACAAGTCAATTGTGATGAGGAAGTAGAGACAGGCAATAAATAGGCAAGAGAGAGCTGAGGAGCAAAGTAAGGTGTAGTAAAGGGGATAGTAATAATAATAAGAGCTGCAGAGGGCCTATTGCCCCATACGAGGCAGCTCCTATTATAACCACTGAATGAGAAGGAGATAGGAATAAGAGGATAGCAAGGGAGCGTAGAAGACAATGAACCGAAAAAGGGAGAAGAGAGAAAGAAAAGGAAAGAGAAAGAAAGATAAATGAAAGGGGTAGGCTTATGTTAGGTCACGTTTGTTAGAAAGATTAGAGCATTTGAGTATATACTGTGAAAGAGAAGAATCCACAGCAACAAAAGCCAGGACTCAAGTTCATGTTGGGTACATTGTGTATTAGAGCCGATTCAACAAGACGGCGTCTGTGTAGAGTAGAGGCAGGAAAGATTATTTTGGAGGAAGACCAATCAATGGGATGTACATGATGGTTTCCATAGGCCATTGCTCCTCATGCCTCTCTCAGGGGGCCAGGTTCTGGTTCATGGTCCCCAGTAGGCAGAACTACAAATCGACTGATGCCATGGTCTAATATATATATATATATATCAGCCTGGTAAGCTCCAGGAAGCCTCTGAGGCTCCCCACAAAAATATATGAAAAAGTGGACATAAACTGAATATTTACATTGTAAACGGTTTTGTGCACCATACAAGTTGACCGTGCATCATCCCAGCCCCATCTGTCAATGCCAGAACTCCCTGTTAGCAACAGATAACGCCCAAGCCAGACACTCAAAATGTTAACCTTGGATGTCTAAATAATCATATGAATGTATGTATGAATTTATCAATGTATGTATATTTCAATGAATGTATAAATTTATGTATCAGTGAATGAATATCCTCACCTAATTGTATGAATATATTAATGAATGAATTATGTATGAGCACGAACTATGGAAACTGCAGAAGGCCAATTGGCCCATATGAGGCAGCTCCAATTTATAACATAGATATAAATAGAACCTGCCTTGAATGGGCCAATAGGCCCATATATGAATTTCATATACTAGTACATAGGAGCTGCCTTCTATTTATATCCTCCCAAACCCATTCATTTATGGACTTATTGGCCCATACAAGGCAGCTCCTATTTATACAATATAGTATTCAAAATATAAAGAGGTGCTGCCTTGTATGAGCCAGTAGGCCTTCTGTAGTTCCTTTATTATTATATTCAAATAATGATTGATTGACCTGGTATACTTCATTACAAACAAATAGTTATGAAAACCATATGAACATAATTGGTATACATATGTAATTATAATGGAATTTTATACCATGATGATTACTGCATTGGCATAGTAACATATGCATTTGCATAATGTAATTGCACTTGTACAGTAAGCATTGATGAAACAATAGCAAGATTTTTTCCATATGTTAAGGTAAACTTCACTACATCCATATCAAGGTATTAAATCATATAGCATCATTAGTAGAAAACACAGACAACAATAGTTAAAATAAACGTATACTGACATGTATCTGCATTACCCTGTGAATCAATGTATTGTATGATTATAACAACAGTTTAAGAATTAATACACCTTAACAATTGACTATTTCACTATTTTTTTAATATAATAAAGTTCTCACTCCTTGAATGTATCTTATTTTTTGTACACAAGCTCCTTAACAAAATACTACACACCCAGGTTTGGCAAGGGGTCTCAGGAAATGTATTCCCACAAAATAGAGCCCACTGTAGTACAGTAGTCTATGTTCTCAACTCTCAATCAGGGATCCCAGGTTCAGTCCCAGGGCGAGACAGAAATGGTTGGGCTATTTCGTTTCACATGAATTCTCTGTTCACCTAGCAGTAAATAAGTATCCAGGAGTTAGGCAACTGTTGTGGGTTGCATCCTGGGGATGATCTCTTCAACCATGAAGAAACATCGATACAAGTTTAAGTACAGACTTGCTGTCCCTGACAATGGGAAACATTATTATTAAAATTAGCCGTCATGTAAATTGTGTGATTTTTACCTTTCTTGCAAACTATACTGTATACAGTACACCTATATGATTAACTTACACAGATATTGAGCTGTTGAGCTAAACACTTCAACTTAGCAGCCCAGGAAGCCAGTTGGTTGGTTCTGGCTATGTTAGAGAGCGAGGATGAAGAAGTTATCTCTTTGCGTGCTAAGGAGGCAATGGAATCGACTATTAACAGGCCAACATCTTTCTCAACAGCAATAACTTCTAGAGATTCTAATCTGAAATATTTCAGAAATTTTAAATTAGAAACAAAAATCCTTTGTTTATATACCACTTACAATAAAAAACTACCTTAGGGCAAAATTATTTAGATACAGTATTATAAAATATAAGTGGCAGTGAATATTTTGTGGTCCACATAGCTAATTAAATTTAAAATTTTCACCAGAGATTATCTAAACAAATCCATTAGCATCAGAAAGCAAAGCACATGGTCAGAGGATCCCTCAGTAGGTTACAATTTACTCCCTAGAAGTTTCACTACTACACATTGTTGGCTTATAACATTGGGCCATCAACATCTTCAAGCACTTTAGATAAAGGACGAAGAAAATTAGAAAGAATGTCCCACTACTTCAGTTTTATGTTCACAGCAAAGAGAACCACATTCTAATACACCATTCGGTAAACTTTAAAGAAAAGGCAGAATTTTTTTTTTGTGCCTTTAATCACACTGAAAGTGTTTCATCACAATGAAAGGTTTCAGTTTGAGCTTCTTGATGGTAACAAACATTTTCTCTTTTACAGTCGCTACTGGAAAATCCAGTAAGTTACTTTTCATTTTCATCACACTATCATTAGGTAAACACAAACCTCAAATTGTGCAGCTGCCCAAGTGAAACTACTCAAGCCAAGGAGGACCGTTATCAGATAAATTTGTGCAGTTGTTCTCCAATAGATCAACCATGACGGGGTCGGTCGGTCGGTCGAGCTCGGGCTCAGGCGCTCGCTCCCCCCCCCTCCCCTCTGCCCATTTGTTTCCGCCTCCACCGGGGATTGGACGCGGAACCTCAGGACTACAAATCCGAAGAGCTGTCCACTCTGAGAGGTCAGGACCCTCTCAGGGGCCTGACAACAGGCAAGAACTAGGTTCTTGCTTGATAATAGAACTGGAGTGTGTGGCACAGTAAAGACAAAACGAAGGGAAATGGCAGTGTTTGACAATGCTATTGAGGGAGGTGATTGCCAGCTGAGAAAAGCTGGTCAAATGCTGTCAGTGTGGTGGAAAGACAGGTGTGAAGTGAACATGTTGACCACCATTCACACTGGCACAATGGTGGACAATGGCAAAGTGAACAAAACCACCAAACAAATATATATACCAGATTGTGTTATGAACTATAACATAAACATGTGTTTGGTTTATAAATGTGATATGACGGTGGGGGCAGTCGAGTGTGTAAGGAAAAACGGTGAAGTGGACCAAGAAAATGTTTTTCCACCTTGTCAACGTAACAATAGTGTAGTTACAATATGCATCTTGTGAAAGCAGGTGGGACATGAAATTTCCGTGCATTTAGTTTTACTGTTTGACATAATTACTAGACAAGTTTGGCAAACCAATTCCTGGCACACAAAGGCCCATTCAGTACCCATTATTACACCATGCTCCCACACCAAAGCTTGCTTACAGGGTTTGCAACACACAATTTACCACCAACTGGAAAGCATGCAATAGGCCAGTGTGAGTGCATTGTGTGTAAGACCACACAAGAGAGAAAACCGAAACCTAAATGGGTGGGCCACCATGTGCAGCGTGTGCCGTCCCATTGTGCCATGTCAACTGTTTCCAAAAGTAGCACACTCTCCTGGACTTCTAAATGTCCAATAATGGTGCAAAAACATGTACATATTGAGTGAGTGAGTTTATACGTATATTGAAAACCAGCGTTGAGTGTAATGAAACGCCATTTTCTGGGCGAGTCCCGGAGGCTCCCCGGAGGTTACCGGGCTGATATGTATGTACTAGACAGTGGCATTAGTCAATTCAACTGGAGTTCTATGCCTGTAAGATGTGCCTACTGGGGTCCATGAGCCAGAACCTAGCCCCCTCAGAGAGGCACGAGGAGCAATGACCTATAGAAACCCCCTGTGGTTGGAAGCATTCTATGTCTGCCATCGACCTGGTTAGGCACCCAGAAAGGTAGGTGTCCCAAAACAAACACCACCTGGTTAAAAATTGCTATGGAAACCGAACTATCAAGTAGAACTCCCAATCCGAAAACAGGCAAACAAGCATGACGTTACAACCGCCACTATCTGCACAACTTCCCCTCCCTGCAAGAAGGTTGTCTCTGCGAGGAGGTTCCCCTCCCTGCAAGGAGGTTCTCTGGTTTTCTGTGGAGAGCCCCACCAGCTCCCCAGAGCTAACCACAGAAAATAAAAGAGGGACTTACCCAAGAGGCGCTGCCACTTGCACCATATCTCGAAGTCGAGACAACTGGCTGCAGCCTGCGACCCAAAGCGACATATGCCCTACTAGAGCCAGGAACATTAACAAGGTAACGGGCCGCCAGGACCCTGTTCGACCTCCAAAATCCTTGTGCTAGAATGTCAGCCCAAGATATATCACCAAAAACAGCAGCTAAAGCAATAATGCAGAAATAATGCGTTTCTGCATTACAGTATTATGATCTGATTTCTAAGGTTATAATATATGTTATTTGTTATTGTCATTACCCCCATTTCTCTCCTTCATGGGTGAGAAATGGGGTAATGGGAAATGGGTTAAGACTTACATTTCAGTGAGACTGCTAACTGTTTTTGGCTGGTAAAGGTAGATCTTTGAGAGGTATTTTGAAATTTCTGTTGTATGTTCTGGATACTTGTTGCTAATAATCTCAACTATTCTGTAAACAAGAAAAAAAAAGAGGAAGATGATTTGTCACAATGATATAGTTATAGTTGCAGTAATAATTGACTTTAACATGAGATTCTGTTCATTAACAAGGACGACAAGCATACAAGGATGAAGGGAGACTGTGACCAAACATAAAACCAACATTGAATGTAGTGAAACACTATTTTCTGGGCAAGACCCAGAGGATTCCTGGAGCTATATCGGGCTGATGTGTATATATTAGACTGTGACAACAGTCAATCGATGGAGTTCTTAGCCTACTGGGGACCACGAGCCAGAACCTGGCCCCACTCAGAGAGGCACGAGGAGCAATGGCCTATAGACACTCCTATGTACAGCAGTTGGAAGCAGTCTATGTCTGCCATCTACCAGGTCAGGCACCCAGAGAGGTAGGAATCCCAAAACAAGCTACAGCTGGTTAAAAATTGCAAACCGAAAGCTGAACGAGCAAGCAGAACTCCCCAAAAAGAAAACAAGCATGACGTCACCACAGCTGCTGTCTACACAACTTTCCCCTCCCTGGGAGGGGGGCCACAGACCTCCCACGCCAGCTACTCAACCCCAGTTCAGAGGCTGAATATGAAAATGCAAAAAAATGCTGACCGAAGGGAGGGAGGTAGGGATGCCTCTGGGTCTCACACAGAAAATGGCGTTTCATTACATTCAACGCTGGTTTTGTGTGGAGAGCCCTTCCCGCTCCCCGGAGATACCTAACCAAGGATAAAGGAAAAAAGGGACTTACCCAGAAGACTGCCACCACTCGCTCCTCAACTCTAAGCAAGACAACTGGCTGCAACCTGCGACCCAAGACTACATACGCCCGAGAAGGGCCCAGAACATTAAGGAGGTACCGTGTGTCCAGGACCCTGTTCAACCTCCAAAAACTCCGTGCCCGAATGTCAGCCCAGGACATATTACCAAAAACAGAAGCCAAAGCCACAAACTTATGAATGTCGTGGACATGGGGATAGACCACAGGCTGGCTGGACCGAATAATCTTGCGGGACGACCTGGGAGACCTGCACCCTGGAACAGGGAAGAAGGGAGAACCGGGTCAACCCAAAGCGCATCCCCTGCCATGGAGGCTGTGACGCGCAAGTAATGGTGAAGAGCCGCAACCAGACGCAAAACATGGTGCACCCCCGGCCGAACCAATCAAGCATCAACAACCTAACAACCCCTCCGGAAAACAGCCGTCTCATTCTTCACTAGAAAATAAGGAAACGGCTGCAAACAAACAAACTGACCACCAGGACCAAAAGAGCAGAAACCCCTGTGCCGGAGAAGAGCATGAAGCTCCCCGACCCGACCCTCCAGAGGCCAATGCCAACAAGAAAAAAGCCTTAGAAAAGCAGTCCTGAACCGAAGGACTGTCACCACAAACCAAGGAGAAGAGAGAAAAGAGAGCACCCGGTCTAAAGACCAGGATGGCTCAGGTGGCGTATAAGCAAGCCGAAGGTGAAACAACGCCCGAGAACCGGTGGGAAGAGGTACAGGTAACCCCACCGCGACCAATCCAGTCGAAAGACATCGACAACAACGGCCTCGCAGTTGGGTAAGGGCGCCGCATATGCCAGAAGATGTATCGACCAAGCCGAAGCGAAGAGGTCCACCTCCAGGTGCTTGAACGTCCAGCAGAGCCAACGGAACAAGTCAACATCAACCGACCATTCCGTGGACAGGGGAATGAAACAGGACAGGCTATCAGCCAGTATGATGGACACTCCCTGGACATGAACTGCCAGGAAAGCCAAACCCCGAGAATTCAGCAGAGAAGTCATCCGAAGCGACCAGCCCCAAAGAGACATGGACTGCATCAAACTCCCACTGTTCAGACAATGAACCACAGGGAAGCAGTCCAAATGAAGCCGGATCATCGATCGCGAATGCCACACCGTCGCAAACTCCCACGCTGCGCTGTGAGCCCGATGGAAGGACAGACTCCACCGACCCTGGCCAGCCTGGTAAGCACTGGTCACAAAGCCCCAGCAGAGACAACGCATCTGTGAACACATCGACGAGGGCTCGGTTAGGCGCCACAACACAGCAGCCGATGCAGGGCCCCCGGGGTCCGAACCCAGTGATTGCGAAAACGGTGGAAGGGATGTCCCTGAAGGAATCAGAACAACTGCCGAAGCCAGATTTGACCCAACGGGTCGACCAGTACGGCGAAGTTCACACTCCTGGACAGCTGCTCGAACAACCGACTCGTGATCCGGGTGCCCTCCAAAAACAGCTGAAGGCGGGATCACAGCCACAGCAACGCCGCAGGAGGGAGAGACAAGGAAGTGATCCGAAAGTCCCACACAAGACGCAGCCAAGTCCGAACCTGAGAGGGAACCAAATGGGACTTCCTCCAGTTTACCAAGAACCCGAACACGGCAAGCTGGGACAGAACCAAATCTATGGCGAGCAGACACACTGACTGGCTGGGAGCCCAGATCAGTCAGTCATTGAGGTAAGCCAGAACCCGAACCCAAGCAACTAGACGAAGCCGCTTGCAGAAAATGCACCACCGCAGACTCTACAAACAGCAACGGACAAAAAGGGGATGAAAATCTAAGAGCCAGGGGCCCAAAGAGTGGATGACCACTGCCTGCCAGCACACAAAGCACGAAGCAAAGAACAGAGACACCGCTTCTTACAGAATTGGCGCAAACAACTTCAACAAGGCAGTCAACGCCCGAGCCGTTGAGGCAAGCGCACCAAACGCAGGCCCTGAACCTAGCTCCTCCACATTTTCTTCGAGCCAGTCTGAAGACAGCTCCAGGAAGAAAAAGCAGTGCAAGATTGACGCCAAATGCCCACGGGCGCCCAAATCCTCGGCCACCTGGGATGCCGAATGGGAAGGAACCTGCACGTGAAGCTGCACCTGGCCAATATCATGAGGAAGCACGGGGGGCTAACAAGCATGCATTGAGGTGCTCAAACTTGCCCCCCAGGTAAACCTGAATGACCGCAGTCAACTCCCACCATTCCAGCGTGCGGGCCCAACAAAACGCATGCCACGCCCCCCCAATGAAAAGAAAGGACAGTTTGCCAGCCAAGAAGACTCCAGCAGCTCGTAGTGCACCCAGTAAGGAAAAAAAGGAGCCAAACTCAAAAGAAAAAGGATTCAGTATCAAGGCATAATCCGGGTTTCGCAGGAGGTAAGCTGCAAGGGCCTCCTGCACCTCCCTCGGCGGGATGCGGGAAGTTGAAAACCTCTAGAAGGAGGGAACCCGGGGAGGAGTCGAACTCATATCAAACTCGTACAAGGAGGGGGGTGGAGATAGGAAAACCCCTTCCCCTGTAACAACAAGTCCTGCACCAAGGGTACCAACACCCAAGTGGGGTCAAGCGAGGCCCAAGCCCCCTTCCCCACATTAACTCCTCCCCAGCCTCGAAATCCTCCATGTTAAGACCCGGGGCTGAGCAGTCCTCCAGCCCTCTGCCTCAGGAGAAAGGCAGAGTCCACCAGAAAAGCAGGGATGAAAGGGCGGGGGGGGGGGAAGGGGCAATCCGGAAGGGGCAGTCCCCGAATCCACCCGAGTTTCACCACCAAGAAAACCCTGCCCCGACTCCAAAACCCTCAGACGTTTGGGAGCCGAGAGCAGGAGAGTGGAGGGGGGGAGCAGGATGAACCACAGCAGGGGAAGGTCAAGGGGGCACAGACAAAACCAAAGTCGAGGTGACTAACACTCCCCCCCCCCAAATCCGGGTCGTGGAGCAGTCACAGAGCATCCAGAAAGGCAACCAACCTAAATCGCACATGCAACGCTGAAGCTGCCTGCATCTGTATATCAACATCTGTGGACTGGGTTAATTGGAGTACAAGCAAGGAAAACCACTCGCAGGACTCCGGGTCAAAAGTGTCATTGACCCAACAAGTAGCATGGCAGAGGCAAAGACGGTGAGTGTCACCCTGAGACAAGAGGACAGAGCAACCTTCAAACACGCACGAAGCGAGGTGGGACTCTCAGATCTCCTCCATCAGACCCAGGGCTATCCCAGAGCTACCAAGCAAACAAACAAATCCTGAACCCCTGTGACGTGTGCAATCACGGGCACCTAGCGGAGGGCCACCAAAATTATACGAGTGGTCCTACAGCCACACCATGCAAACAAAAGAAAAACCCTGTAAAAGCACAATGTCTCCAGGGAAACAGAAACGGTCGCTATGCATATATCAGACAGCTGCGCAGTACCTTGCGCCCCAGCCAGCAATAATATTACCTTCTATCCAAGGTCAAACAGGAGAAAGAACAACCTCAGCTGAACCCCAGGGGCGGGCAATTACCGAGCAGCAAAAGAACCACAAGAAGGTAGCCTTCCAAACGGTTCATGGAAGATAACCCTAAACCACAAGGGTAATACTTACAGGGCACCTAGGGAAGGTTGCCCCTAGGTGCATGCAGCCCCAGTACTCTTGTATTACTTCTGGCTCACACACCACCACACAGAAGAACAACACCGCTATGGACAGAACAGTTCAAAAGGATGGAGCCAGAATCGATCATCCGCCACCAAACACAACAGCCTGTGAACTGGGGTTTGGGTAACTGATGTGGGAGATCTTTGTAACCCCCTTCCCCCTACCAAGGAGGGGGGGAGTTGTGCAGGCAGCAGCACGACAGCTGTGGTGATGTCATGCTTGTTTACTTGTTTTCGATTGGGGAGTTCTGCTTGCTAGTTCGGCTTTCGGTTAGCAATTTTTAACCAGCTGTAGTTTGTTTTGGAATTCCTGCCTTTCTGGGTGCCTAATCTGGTAGATGGCAGACACAGACTGCTTCCAATTACACGGGGGTGTCTATAGGCCATTGCTCCTCGTGCCTCTCTGAGGGGGGCTAAGTTCTGGCGCTGGTCCCCGGTAAGCTTAGAACTCCATCGATTGACTGTTGCCACAGTCTAATATATACACATCCGTCTGGTATAACTCCATTTTTGTGGAGAGCCGAAAGGGCTCTCCACAGAAATGGTTTGAGAACATCATATAATTGAAGAGAAACATGCACTAGACAATATTATTGTTCATTGATGAATATAATTACTCACCGTTCAGGTCTAAAGGCTGTTTCTGTATCAATATACATTGTTGTAATATTGTTACTGCTGTCTCTCTTTGCTATGACTGTGAGGATAGCTATATATAGGCACCACTGGGTTTTGCCAACTCCTGATGGACCTGGAACAATACAAATCTAAATTCACTTCCTTTCATCTATATTAAGCACTTAAACTTCAACCAAACTACTGTCTATATTTATTATCAGTCAGAAGTGCACAAATTCTAAGGAAAATAATTTTTTTAATATATAGATATTGAAAAATTAAATAATTTGCCCTCAATATTGACATTAAATGTAGCAATAATGAAAGTCCCGGTGGCTAAGTGGCAAGACACTCGCCAGGCTTTTCGCGAGTGCTTTGGCCTGGGTCTGTATCCTGATCGGGGAGGATTTACCGAGCTCCAATCCTTAACTTTAGCCTCTGTTTATCCAATAGTAAAATGGGTACCTGGTTGTTAAATGATTTGCAGGGTCATATTCTGGGGAAAATTACGATCAAGGACTTTCCCGAAACGTTATGCGTGTTAGTGGCTGAACAAGAATGTAAGAACTCTTGTACAGTATAAAAAAAAAAAAAAAAAAAAAAAAATTAACAAACTAAGGCCAGGATTGCAATAGTATTCAAAACCCCTTTACCAAAATTAAATACAATGTGCTCTAGATTTTCCCATCTAATTACCCAAATCTCTGAACTGGCAGTACCAGAACCTATACAAGTCTCCTTGTAATTTGTTTTCCCACAGTTGTAGGACAGGATGCCTGTTCGGTTTATGGTTTATTAAGGTCCTCTTAGGCCAAGTACTAACTCCCAGGATGCAACCCACTACCAAGATGAACAACCCAAACAAATAAAAATCACAAATGATGCTACGCTCCAATGAAAATGGTTTAGAACCTGCTAATCAACAAACAACTCTGAAGAAACTAATCCATACTTATGTCTACCCCAATAAAGGCAATGGACTACCAGATAGCAGCCTAAGCTCCCAGGGTATTGGGGTGAGTAAGTCCTCCAACTCACGAGCTGAAGCACAAACTACACACCACTAACTGGGATTCCAGGTTGGGAACGAAGAGCTACCAAGGTATATTTCATTGCTTAACACTATAATTCTGGGTTTGCACTCCTCAGCTTATTCACCCAAGCTGATCTATCAGGATCCAGAGCCAGAATTTGTCCCTCTCTCCGAGGTGATAAGAGCTTAGCTACTATCAAATAAGTAATATCAGCAACTACCTCCCCGCCCCATCTACTACCAGCTGGTAACGGCACCACTCCTAGGCCAAAAATAAACTTACCCACAACGTGGTAACAGCAAGTTACTGAGAATGAAACTAAAATTGGGCATTTCTTTATGGCAATTATGACATACTTTAAATGTAAAGTGCTCATAGGCCATTGCTCCCTGCACCTCTCTGAAGGGGCCAGGTTCTGGCTTATGGTTCCTGGTAGGCATAAGGACTCCTGTGACTTATGGCCTCAAACTAATATAGCACATATCAGTTTGGATAGCTTCAGGGAACCAACAGGGCTTCCCACAAAATGAACAAAACATTCTCCTGGCCACCTTGAAGACAAAGATTAGAAATCCTATATGCACAAACAGGAAGAGACCCACAAGATGCAAGCGTCAGGAAAGAGAGAAGATGGGGGGAGGCATGTGAGTGGGTCTGGAAACCAATCCTGAATAAGAGACATGGCCCCCCAAAGCTCTCCACATAGAAAAAAGTACCACCAGCAAATCTAATCCAGCTTAAGAGTGACCACCACAAACAACAACTGATCAGACACGCTAGCGTACATGCTTGTGAAATATAATAAGCATGCCCTGAATGTCAGTTCATCCTCCTGTTTTGATAGTACTTATAGGAAGGATGAGACCCATAGTACATATACTGACATACGTTGCAATTAGAAAGTAGAAATCGGTACTATTAAATTCGGACAAACCGGAAAACAATTTTCTACTTATGTTGCAAATACCAACTAACCTAACATTCTTAGGCCTAATACATGCCATCTGAGGCCTAGTATAGTATATGTGTGCAAGGCCTATGAATATTGAAGTTTATTTTTAGCTTAATTTTTTCAGACTCTACAAATTGAATAGTACAAAGTTCTGCTATCTAATTTCTTAATACATCAATGTTTGTACTATGGTGCATAAAGTTACAAAAAGCATTATCTTGTGAGGGGGGGGTAAAAAGCCAGCCACTTGTGGGAGGTGAAAGTGGCAGGCAAATGTAGAGACTGGGTGGTCGGGACCCTGGGGGTCCTGGTGGTGGCTGGAGGAGTTAAGGTAGTGTGTAGTACTTACCTAGTTGTGCTTGTGGGGCTTGAGCTTTGGTTTTTTTGTCCTGCCTCCCAACTGTCAATCATATCTACATTTGAAACTGTTCACTGATAGTAGGTTAATCTTTATTCTCCACATGCTCTCCTGCCCCCTTTGTGGAGACAAGATATTGATGAATAAATCCACAAGGGCCGTGATGAGGGTTCGACCTTATGTCCAGGATGATCCCAGGCGCACCGTAATCCCTCATCACGGCCCTTGTGGATTTATTCACTTGATATATCACGCTTTTGTGATTTCCATGTGTAAGATATTGATTCTTGTTCCAGGTGGGCTAAGAGTGTCTCAGGAGCTTGATATTTGGGGTGGCACTGAGATACCAAAGCAATAAGCTCCTTGAAGCTTATTGCTTCAATAAGCTTCAAGGAGGGGTCAGCCCGGAAAAAAAACTGCAAATCTTCTAATATTTTAAATATATACTGTATTAGTATAAACAATCTTAGAAATAGTTGCGAGGTGTAAATATGAAAGTTTGAAGAATGCGTTCTGGGCAGTATTGGTGTTATTACTTGGATAATATCTGTTGACTGGGGTGATTATGTTGTTGACATGTCAGCATGAAGAGTCCAGGCACCACTTTTGCAGGCCAAAGCACTTGGTTCAGTATTACAGGATGATGAAATTGTTTTCTAAGCACCTAAAAAGGTTTCAGTATTTGGCAAACTTAACCAACCCAAGCATAAAATGTCAATACAGTCAAAGTTTTTCTCCAGTACCTTGAGCAACTAACCTGCAAATTCTGTGAGGGAGCCTGCATGAAGGCCACCATGCAGCATAGAGTCTAAAGTATCTGTTCCCAGCCAGTAACTGCCTTTTCTCTCTTCTTCACTTAAATCAAAGGCCTGCATAATATTTGCATAAAGTAATAACATATGAATATTCTATATACAATGAATGGTGGGAAAACCCATTTCTAATAGTCATGCAAATATACTTCATGTAATACTTCATAAAAACTAAAAAAAATCAGTAATAAATAATCCTCGCTTAACTTACTGTTACATGTTTTGGGATACAGACATTGAACAATTTGTCCATAAACAGCTTACATTCATCAGCGCTCATATTAAGCAGTGTCATCACTTGTAGTGGAGGCAGGGAGAGTACATCCTGTTCAAGATACCAATGGAGTTCACATACGTTACAACCATACACTATTGTAGGAAAAGATGTGCAAAATGTAGAAAGCCTCTTGATCAGTTTGAGTTTACACAGTTGTTTATAAAGATGTGGGTCCTTTAATTCCAAAATTGTACATGCTAATTGTTGAATGGAAATTCCAATATAAAGTACAAAAATAAAAATTATTATATTTTTATTTACAACTCTGTGCCAGATGTAAATTTACCAGAATTTACCCGAGGGCCATCATCTCTAGTAAGTAATTACCAAAGGAAGACACCAACCATTTCTAGTAGCCTTGACAAGGACAGGAAGCCAGTAGTTTGTCAAAGCTCCCACACCCCCTATTCTTCAGAGGATTTTTTCCAGGATCTTTAACACTTGCACTGCACCTAAAGATATTCTTGCTGCTTTCAGAAATGAAGGTAGCTCTCCGGTGCTTATGTTGGTATAGCCAAGCCTTAGGATTCACATCAGGCCTTTGAGACTAATGCTGACCTATTGGGAGCCAAGACCAAAATCTGGCACTTTCTAAGATGTGTACACAGCTTGCAAATCCCAAAACTGAGAAAAGTAACCAGAAAGGTTAGACAAAACAACCTTCTGCTTTAAAAAATTAAATTTTCAATGAGGAACAAATAAATCAGTCATTGCTGCAAGTGATAACCTTAACCCTGAGCACAAACAGATGACAACACAGGCCACCCGGTCTAACTTATTCATGAGCCACCAGTACTGAACCCCATGGAAAATAAAGAAACAGGGAGATACTGAAAGGGGCCAACTAGAAAGGGGGTTTTCAATACATTCAACACTTAAATTCTGGAAAAAGTAAGCTCTCTGGGGCTTACTCCCAACAATAATATCTCATCAGAGGACAGCTTGCTAAAAAGAAATATCATAGGAAAGCCCAGAAAAGCCAGAAAAGATTTAGCTAAGGTATAGGCTAGCAAAGGAGCAGCAGCTGCCCAATAAACACCAAAGCCCCACATAAACATAGTAAAGAAATGACCAAATAAATTGCCAAAATCCTTGAGCATGGAAAGCAGCTGTGATTAGAATAAAATAACACCAAAGCAATGAAGGGTCCACACCACAGAAAAAATAAATCAATAGTCCACACCACAGAAAAAAATAAATAAATAGTCCACCGGAGAATCTAGGATAGCCACGCTATAGACCCAGGGCAAAAGGCAGCTGGCAGAAGAGAGCTGCCACCTGGACAATTAACTGGAGCAGCCAGACATGGACAGAATGCCAAAAGGCACTTGGGGTGAGATGAAATGTAGAAACACCACAAAATTCCAACCCCAAAAGGACCTGACGAGTAGAACCAGTGGAGAGGTATACAGTAGTTAAGTGCTTGCCTGCCTAGGCAAGGCAAGCACTTAACTTGCCTGCCTAGACAAGGCAAGGCCTGCCTTGCTTCACTCTTGTGCCTAGTGGCACAAGAGTGAAGCAGGCAGGCAGAACCCATGGTTGGGTAGGTTGGGTTCGGTCATATATCTCCTTTAGTTGTAACTCAAATTAAAAAAAAATAACTCATACATAATGAAATTGATAGCTTTATCATTTTATAAGAAAAAAATTAGAGTAAATATTGAAATTCAGTAAAACTTGACTTATTAGGCAAATCAGCCCTTGCATAGTAGGCCAAGAACTGCATTCTGGCTACTAGGTACAAAATAAATAAATAAATAAATATATATATATATACTGTATATATATATATATATATATATATATATATATATATATATATATATATATATATATATATATATATATATATATGTATATATATACTGTATATATATATATATATATATATATATATACTGTATATATATATATATATATATATATATATATATATATATATATATATATATATATATATATATATATATATATATATATATATATATATATATATATATATATATATATATATATATATATATATATACATACATACATACATACATACATACATACATACATACATACATACATACATACATACATACATACATACATACATACATACACACACACACTGTATATATATATATCCAAAAATTAAGTATCATTTATAAAGCCTGCTGACTTGTAAGGAAATTTATTTATAACCAAATAAACAATAATGAAGGATTCAGGACAAAAATATAAAATATATGGCATAGATATTTGATACTGTATTTTTTAACCAAAAATGCTGCATACTAAATCCTACACAACATCCATTTTAAGTACTGTATACTATACAGTATGTTTGTAAATACAGTACTGTCCAATGCCATGTAGTTAATCTGATTATATTGAATGTTTTAATAGTAAAATAAATAAACAACCACTATTCTCATTAGTGATTCACTGTTATTGCAAGATTTTCTTGACTAAAAATTCAATATAATAATTTAGTAGAGAATGAAGTACAATACCGGTACATACTTCATTTAGTCTCCGTGGTGTAGTGGTAAGACACCTCCCTGGCGTTCCGCGAGCGCTTTGTCATGGGTTCGTATCCTGGCCGGGGAGAATTTACTGGGCACAAATCCTTAACTGTAGCCTCTGTTTAACTCAACAGTAAAATGGGTACTTAGTTGTAAAAACGATTGTTCATGGGGGTCGTATTCCAGGGACCATAGGATTAAGGACTTGCCTGAAATGCTACGCATACTAGTGGCTGTACAAGAATGTAACAACTCTTGTATATATCTAAAAAAAAAAAAAAAAGTACTGTATCTTGCCCAAGAGTTTTGGAGGGTCCCGGACATACAGTCAGGTTCCTTCTCCACTTACAACTCGGATTTCCGGGTTCGAATCCCAGTCGAGACAGAAATGTTTGGGCTCATGTCCTATCACCTAATGCACCTATTCACCTACCAATAAATAGGTACCCAAGAGTTTGGGAGCTTGTTATGGGGCTACATCCTGGGGAGTCGGTAATTCTTGGAGGGACCTCGATATAACCCTAACATGTATAATTATATATACACTGGTTGCCTGTCCCCAAACTTAATTAATTATTATTATTATAATGGAGACAGACACTGGGGCGACAGTTCCTCCCACCATTCCTGGCTGTCGCAACAACTCTCGATTAAGACATATATATGGAACTAAATGACAGCAAAAAACATGCTAATGATCAACCTTGACAGTCTTTAATGATGATCTTGCTATCCTGTCCTTCAGGTCTTGATCTATGGGTAACTTGGCCAGTCTCATGAAGGCCATGTTCGGACGGGCCGCCCAGCCTCTGACGTCACGGCTCAAGGTCTTTATTTACACAAGAATTTTCATAAATAACACTTTTGTATATATATCGTAATTTTTTAGTGTGCTGTCATTCACTAAATATAATTCTTTTAATTACAGTTTTATAATGTTTAAATAACAATGACGTACGTTTATAAGGGCGGCCCATAAGTTATTTTACCGTAATACTACTTTATTTCATTCCTTTTATACTAAAATATTTAGTTTTATTAGTTAATTATTTTATTTTTATTATTTTGTTTTAACAATTTTATTATTTCATTATTTTATTTTATTCAATTCCTTTCTTTATTATGCACCCCATACCCATCCCGTGGGCGGTGGTGTAAAGGATTACACAGGCACATAATCGGTTCAGGAACTCAACCCTCTAGTTCGTTTAGCTAAGCAAATAACAATTTTTGACGCTAGTTACAAAATTATATATTACAAAAAATTACATATTTAATCACCCACACAAATACACACATCAATAATCTTTTGTGTCACAAGTGATTCAACAAGAGGCTCACAACAGTTACTAGTCTTGCTGCACTCCCACCCAACTGGGCGGCAGCTTTACAGTCATGTGCATGCATTACCTACAATAAGCATGCTAAGATTCGGGCAGCACATCATTATGAATGAAGTACTTACTCATTTCTTGGACACTATTGATGTTGTTATCTCTAAATTCCGCGATTTTTTCACATTCCATTATATAATGACGCAAGTATGCGAATAGTTCTGCTGACAGAGTTTACATTTAGTCAAATCTACATCAGCAGATGTTACAAATTCCCAGAGGTACTTGTAGCCGAGCCTAAGCCTAGCAGTGGTAACATCTAGAAGTCTGCTAACATTATTGGATGACCCATAGGCGTGCGGTTCTTCCTACATAATAGAATGATGATAGATGGAGTAACTGGTGTGAATTTCACTTTGCCTCAAATTTCTCCGAAATTTAGTTGATGTTCCTGGGATATTGCTGCCCTCAGGCTGCTAAAAGGCAGTCCAAGTTGGTAATCAATTCCCTCTTTACGAGCAAAAGTCTTGGCCAACTCATCAGTTCTATCATGCATTCGGAGACCAATATGGGAAGGAATCCACAGGAGACAAACTATGACTCCATCATTAATTATTTCATTATATCTGTGTCTAGCTTCAAAGATAAGCACGTCACAGTTATGCCTTGGGGAGCTGAGGGCAGTCAAGGATGTTATTTTATTCAAATATACTATTTTTTTTTCTTTCATGCTTTTTTGGTATTAACAAGCTTAGGTTTGTAGCGAGTAAACTTATACTCGCTCCATTATCTCATCATCTTAATGGCATAATGGCATAACTAATTAGCACTAACTACACAAGCTATAATCCTATCCCTATTTACAGGTAACGGTTCTTCCACCCTCCTATCTCATTGTGAGGTGTAGTCACCGTGTATAAGCAAGCGATTTGAGAATAGCAAACCACGGGAGACATCTCCCGTCACGCAGGGGGCAGTCGCACCTCCACAGATCTACAGTATCATCTTTTGATACTGGTAATGGCTCATTAGGGCCACCACTTACGGGGTAATCATGCCCGTGCCACCTTTTGGATGGCTTAATCTTCATCATCATCATCGAATAGCAAACACACCATTTGGTCCCCATTTGGTCCGGGAGACATCTCCCGTCACGCAGGATGCAGTTGCGCCTCCACAGATCTCCAGTATCATCTTTTGATACTGGTAATGGCTCAAAAGGGCCACCACTTACGGGCTATTCATTCCCGTGCCACCTCTTGTGTGGCTTAAATCTTCATCAATCGAATAGCAAACAGGACGGGAGACATCTCCCGTCACGCAGGGTGCAGTCGCACCTCCACAGATCTCCAGTATCAGCTCTTGATACTGGTAATGGCTCAAAAGGGCCACTACTTACGGGATATTCATGCCCGTGCCACCTTTTGGATGGCTTAATCTTCATCAATCAATCGAATAGCAAACGGCACCGCTCCTGTGCCAGGTACGTCCACTACGGGCTCACCATAGCCCGTGCTACTTGCCCCGCTCCTGTGCCAGGTAAGTTACGGGCTCACCATAGCCCGTGCTACTTGGAACTTGTTCCGAGTAGCTGAATCTATAACAATAACAACGAATAGCAAACAGTACAATTTCCAGTCAAGAATGTAGCACTCGGCGTAGGCAGTTCTAATCGTCTCCAAGACGCTACAGCTTCGACACAGAACAGGCAGCAGACTAGGACCGCATCGAGCTACAACGCTCTCCCACATAGAGCTCCGCGACTCCGGCCTCACTCAGCTCTCTGCTCTGCTCCAAGCTCCGTCTCAACGTCTACGACACTGCTGCATCCAGGACTACTAAATAAATATGAAACTCACTAAACACTGTGTATCTAATCTACCCAACAACGTAACATTGGTGACCCAGAGAGTTTCGACGATACCCAGCCACGATGGACTACAACATGGACTCTCACCCATGGACCTCTACTGCTCCTGCTGCTGTGGACCGCAGCTACCTGTCATGGAACGCCGCCAACACCCTCGCCACAGCTATGATTTTTCATCGCGATCATCTCTGCATTTTCATCTGCTACGGCTTGCTGCTCCACGATCGTTACTCACTCATCTGACAGCCTCATCAATGATTACATCATGTAGGATCTACAGCCTGTCCTGCTGACTCTCCGTCGCTGCCAGGACACTGCTTGTGGGACGCCCACGACAGCTGCTCTGTCATCAGATTCATCTACATGGTCACTGCATTCTGATACTCTGCCCACTTAAGCACCTTGCACAGTACAGGACTTACAGCTTGCCTTTCAAATTAAAAAAAATCAAATGTTTATTCAGGTAAAGTACATACATACAAGGTGTGATACAAATATTACTGAATTTATAGATAGAGATAGTACATACAATGCCTAAAGCCACTATTACGCAAAGCGTTTCGGGCAGGAAAAACACTAAAGACTAAAACTTAATACTAATTAATTAATTAACTACCTAATTAACTCCCTGTAACCTACCTTACCCCTATAATGTCAACCCATGTCTGTTATTTTTAAACAATGCTGTTTGTCGACCAAATTGTATTTTGCTGTTTTTCTGCCATGTTCCCCTTTTTTATTTTTATATTGTCTCAACACATTTTATACTTTAATCTCAATTAGTATTAAGTTTTAGTTTTTAGTGTTTTTCCTGCCCGAAACGCTTTGCGTAATAGTGGCTTTAGGCATTGTATGTACTAGCCCTATCTATAAATTCAGCAATATTTGTATCACCCCTTGTATGTATGTACTTTACCTGAATAAACATTTGAATAAACATTTTTAGAACCCGTCCTGGAGTCACTCAGATGAAGCTTCATGGGCATAGATAGGAACCAGCATTGTGGCTGCCTCGACAATTGCAACAAAATGGGACGATTTTTTCACTTTTTTCAATCTTGATTCTACACTCTCGCGTTTCTTACCACAATACCGACTAGATGCGGTTGTAGTCTGCTGTCTGCTCTGTGTCGAAGCTGTAGCGTCTTGGGTCGATTAGAACTGTACACGCCGAGTGCTACATTGTTGACTGGAAATTGTACTGTTTGCTATTCTCAAATCGCTTGCTTATATACGGTGACTACACCTCACAATAAGATAGGAGGGCAGAAAAACCGTTACCTGTAAATAGGGATAGGATTATAGCTTGTGTAGTTAGTGCTAATTAGTTATGCCTTTAAGATGATGAGATAATGGAGCGAATATAAGTTTACTCGCTACAAGACAAAACACCAGCCCAGCTTCTGCGGCATATTCAGTATGTAATGCATACCGCAACTGGTCCAGTCCCCAGCGAGATTGTGAGATCACTCTGGATACAAGTCTGTCCAAAACACATTCAACCGGCCCTATTCAGTATGGCTGACGACACCCCATTAGCCCAGCTTGCTACACTGGCAGACCGGCTACATTACGACGTCTGATAGCGCTACGCTGTCCCCCCCCCCTCCCCAATACACAGTAGACTACAGACACCCAACAACTCGTCGTCATCCAGAACCGGTGTTTCTTCCGCCCAGGGACGACGTACCACGCGAATCCAGTATCAATCTCTAGGCGACAGCGAGAACACCGTGAATACTGGTGGTAAGAGCTTTGTTCTTACCACCAGAGGTTCGGACACCAAGCCCACAACTGTAAGGCTCCTTGTTCCTGGAAACTACTTCAGTGGGGACTGTAAACGGCCAGTAACCCTGCCATTTCAAACACTGCACTGCTCTACATATCTGACATCATAACCAAACACCGTTTCCTCGTTGACACAGGTGCAGCAGCTAGTCTGTTGCCTCCCCCACTGGTCAAACCAACCCGCACTCTTGGTTTGGACTTACTTGCCGCCAATGGTACGTCCGTCCGTACACATGGGACCCGCGCCCTGGTTCTCGATTTTCTGATAACGGAGGAATAAGACACCGACAGCATTGGGACCTATTTATTTAATTTTTTAGTAGTAACAAAATAATTAAATTTTTTCAGACCATGTTAATGAACAGGTAACTTGTATAATTTTACAACAGCATAAATACATGTATAACTTGGCTACAATGACTTAATAACATTAATATATATGCTTATATCCGGTAACTAAATAGAACATGGTCTGAAGAACGCGGAATCCTTATTAACTATTGGTACAAGTAAGGCAAACGTTTAACATAATTTTTTAAGTAGAATCGGGGCTTAAAGAGTAGCATATAGTGGCCTAACACATGACATAAATAATGTGGCAAATCCCAGACATAATGTGAAATGGTAAATTACTAGTAGCTGTAGAATACACCTATAGGACAAATTTAACAATACTCTTACAAGTGAGAGTAAGTAGCTGCGGACAGCGTAATACTTAGGGGCCGGCGCTGCACCCCCCTGTTGACCACCAATAAAGGACAAAGACATAGTACTGTGCATAGGGTTATATTGCCGCTGAACATTGGAAGGGGAGGAGGGTGGGAAAATTTTTTCTAA